GCGCAGTAAGTCGTTTCTTATTGTTTGACCTGCTGCATAGCTCTAACTAACTTCATTGGAATAAGAAGAACTAGAAATGAGCGTCAAGCAAAATAGCTGCGTTTTTACTAAACAAAGAAACGACGACGTTAACGAAGCTACAAAGAATCAATTTTTCTTTCTTTTAATTTCTTCAGGCTAAAATGAAATAAAAGAATAACAACAAAAGAAAAGCTCACGTCCAATTCACCTCCTCRTTTATTACGCGGCCATCTTACTTATCGGGAAAACGGCCCGGCAAAGCAAAAGCTGAGAGGGAACTATATTTCTAACTCATGATCATGCAGACTTTAAAGTGACGTTAATATACAAGCTATAGAGTACAGGCTATTTATGATTTTTAAAAAGTGCATTGTCGTAAATATTGTAAAAAAATCAGCATTATGTTAAATCGATAGAAATGTCTTTTTGCATAAATGTGCATTAAATATATTTTTTCGAGGTTGTTCTGCAGGTTCCACCATACCAAGATCCGTCAATCCACAGTTTACTAACGCCAAAGGTAGAGACTAAATGTTTAAGAAATTGTTACGAACAATTGGACCTGGAAATACGTCACCGTGAGTTTTGAAGCTCTATTACTCATGCTTGTAAGATATACTTTCAAACTGTATGTGATCAGATCTGTCCATAGCACTTCAGGTCCCCAAGTCTATAATAACCGCGTTCATTATAATCATCAGTATCTCCAAACCTTAACTGAGTGACGGGCAGCGTGGATTTGTCAGTCAACAGACCACTGTCACTGCGGGTTCCAAGCAGCTTGTTATTACAGTTACACCCCCCTGGCTCCCCCTGACAGGAGTTAGTCATACCACAAGCACACTTCTTACTTCCGGGTGTAGCCCCTCCCCAATAATCTTGTCGCACATTGTCACGTGATACCCACCAGGCGAACCCAGCGGTAATAAACATCACGTCTCCTGTGCACTCGAATTCAATGTATTGTTCACAGTTTGACGAGATGTTGGTTAGTGCTGTTATTTGAGCCATGGTTGATCCATAACTGACAGTCTGACGGTAAGAACCAGGCATCATGGGTACTCCAAGGACTGGTATCTTGCCCTCGCTATCATGACTAAAGGAAGTCACACCCACACGTCCTCTATCATTCATGTTGCAAAACACACTAAATGCAGGCTGTCCTGATTGACCATCAGGGTCGATGACGTAATTCCCAGAGGGTGTGTGGGGTAATACCTCTTTCAACTCACTGCAGCTCTTTGGTGCTATTTYTTTGAGGTCATCTGGGGATCGTGGTATTCTTATCTTTACTTCAACTCCTGTCTTTATCTTCCGTTGTTTAATCTTAGCAACGCAAACGTACTGYCCTGCATCTTGGGTCGTACATTTAGTAATGACTAGTGTGCCATTAGAGTWRACTGACGCTKGGCYTTTCACAMTGTGMACAGGTTTATCATCCTTCTCCCATACTATAGTTGCAGACATGGAGGCTTGACAGTGAAGTACTAGACGTCTACCTAAAACATACGTTGACGTTGGTGGTGGTTTGATTAAGAAAACTAGAGAAGGGATAACTGTTACCCGCGCATGTGCAGTTACACGTCCCAGGAGGTTCTCAGCTGTACACACATAGGTACCATCAYCATTGATTCCTACGTCARTTATTCTCAAGCTCCCTGTATATGACGTAATTGTTCGTTCTGGCAGGGTTCCTGWGGATCTAGACCATGATATCTTGGGTGATGGGACACCAGATGAAGCACATGCGAGRTGCAAATCTTGTCCTTCTTTGATGCTAAGGGGTTTGGGTCTTTGGATCAGACGAGGTGGCACTAAAATATAGCAGAATAGTAAACTGATGAGCTTCAACTAAGATTGATTGAAATACTTTACATTTTCTTTACGTTTTCTTAGGGACAGGTCATTATTTATCGCCTATGGGGAGAGGGGGTTGAGGATTAAAAATATAAAACTCTTTCATTATAGTTGTCACTGTTATCAAGAACAGCGTTTTTTTAGGAGCCTGGAAATTCATTATTTCAAAAGGAAAAGGGATASCTGAGTTTTGTAAATTTTCTTGATTCTGATAGCTTAAAATGTTGAGCAAACCGTGATAGTACACGTGAAAGYGGTCTTTGTTTTCAGAATATTCTGGAACTCGTACTGACCTTGCACTGTCAAACTTGTCTGTGCCTGYACCATACCGTGAGCATTCGTTGCTGTACAAATATAGTTTCCACTGTCCTTTGATATCACATTTTTGATTGACAGACTTCCATTGGAATGAGCCACGTGACGACCAACTGGAAGCGATGCATTAAGCCTCGACCACGTGACTTTTGGGCYGGGATTCCCATTAATAAGACAATTAAACATTGCCATGCTACTCTGATTGACAACAAGAGCTTTTGGTGGTTTTGTTATAGAAGGGACTGATTCTGATTTTGTATTGGATACCCTGTGTTTATGGGAATCAACGGACTCAGACGGCCCTTGAGGTTCCTTATCTCCTTTTGGAGCTTCAGGACCCTGGTCACCTTTTGGCCCTTGAGGTCCTGGATCTCCTTTGGGTCCTCGTAGGCACATCCTCTGGTCTCTCGTGCAGATCTTGTCTTTCACGATATTTTTCAATTCCTTTCTGATTTGCCGTCTGATAGCAGAGGTTAAGGTGGTGTTAGGGCTGCTGCGGCGTATCCTAAGAAGAGGCTCTAAAACAAAAATAACCAGAAGTATTTTACCGGGAGAAGGGGTATGTTTTTGGGGGGGAGGGGAAAGGGTCATTCAATCAGTCTCAGGGGGCWCACATAGGAATTCGGGTCGAAGAGTCAACAAAAACAAAATTTGGCAAACAATTGAGGAATCATTTTATCATGCAATAAACTTCGGAGAAAGGGCTCACATTATTTGGGGGGCTACCAAGTGAATCCTGCCCCCCCCCTCCCCTCCCCCGATAAAAAATAACCATGGTATTAGCATGTATTAGTATAAATCCGTTTTGGTAACTAATACGAACGTTTTATTTCTAAAGTCATAATGGAATTCCCATGGAGGTCAAATGTTTAGTGAAACAATGCATCACTAGTGTCTGGCTGTATGATAGTGAAGGAAATTGTATCCAGCTGGRAAAAAAACTGTACATTTTTAGCTATTTTGGACTTCGAAACTAATATCGCACACAGTCAAGTATGTTTGTGGGTGACAAACTGTCCAGTTGGACACTCGCTTTACGGACATACTTCATATTAATAGTGTTTAACGAGTAACTGTTACCAATATTTTACCTTGTTTTTTGTCGTTCTTTAGACTAYGATGAAAATACTCTGAACTACCGGCCAAAACTAATTGATTACGATCCAACAGTCCTTGCTGTTTGTTCATCTTAACTTTTCCCTGATTCGCCTCAGCTGTAGATGATTCCATTGCTTTGGAGTCTTTGATATCAGGAGCTGTTTTTTGGAAGTGTTCGTGTGCGTAGAGTCTAAACTCCACGTGCAGAACACCAGCCAAACACAACAAGGATATCAACAAACTAGTTCCAGACAACAATGAACTAATGTCTTGCTTCATGACTGAAGATCTTACACGAAGAGCAGCGACGGGAGGACAACGCACACTAGATTTACAAGTATTAAGAGCAGAAATGTCTCCTGCAAGCTGCCAGCGGGCAATATAGATGTAATCGGACTAGGAATAATTATATAGATGCAAAGGACTTTTAGAAGAAACTGTTAGTTGAACYAATGACCTTACTGTATCACATTTCATGATTCTTGTTATTTATAGCTAACAAGAAGAAAGAGTTCCTGTTTTTTTTTTCTTTTTCTGCAAAAGACAAAGGACGTCATTCCCAGCTCACTTTTTTTTTTTCGCTTTTGCTTTTATGTTTTTCGTTTTTGCTTTAAAATTTTCGTTTTTGTCGTCAAGTTTTTTGATTTTTTGTGATTTCGAAAACCGTAGTAACTTTTTGTTTTTCGTTTTTGATTTATTTTTATTAACGTGACGCGAAAAATAAGTGTCGCAAAAGGTCAGCGTACTAAAGAAAGTAAAAAAAAAGGATTGAATGGTTCTTCAGCCACTGAATTCCAATTGAAATTTTGAAGGAAACTGTTGCCTCATTTGCAACCGTCTTTAGGGTTGTCACGCAACGTTGCGTGACGACCCTAAGAACGGCTGCAAAGGAGGCTACGGAAACTGGGGAACAAGCAAATCTATTCACATACGATGCCGAGCCCGGTTCGCATTGGTAAGAGGCGAGCCTTTTCACCATTATGTCACCTGTGCCTCCCATTAA